AACGGAAACTTTTTTTGCATCCTTCGTCGATTGAGCGAGATAGTTCACATTTTTTATCGGAAGGCCTATCGTCCAATAAAACTAGACGAAGTAAACAAATGCTGGATAAATTAAGTCCGCAAGTTTATGATTTAGGTATTTCTTTCATAAAAACATCGAAGAGCAAAATATCACCTAAGAACTGCTCCATTTCGGAATGCAAACCTGCTGATGGTCCGGTTACAATTGTAAATGAGACTTCTGATCAAAATCGAAATCCGCAGGATTTGCAACAGAAGCAAGCTTTAAAATCTGTGAAGTATTCAGAGCTCACTAGTAGCGAACCTGATTTATGCGCTAGTATAGACAGAAATTTTTTGTCTCAACGTCGTTCTTGGGTTCAGTCATCATTAAGGACTTTCCGATCAGATAGAAATACTGTAAATAGGAATGAAAAACTTTCAATTGATAATAATGTCTGCTCACTACAGAGATCGGTTTCTCTCAGCGACAATATTCTTAATAACGATTTGGTCGACAAGCAGACGAAGCCAGTATCCGATCACGGAAAGAGTGAAAAAGAACTAAATGAAAACAGCCGAGCTTCATCGTGGGCCACATCATTTGCAAACGTCCTCGAAGCTCCGCTTGGAGTGAAAACTTTTATCGAATTCCTGCGATTAGAATATTCTGCCGAAAATATATATTTTTGGACGGCATGTGAGCGCTTTCGCCACATTGACAACGAAGCCGAACGTATAATTCAAGCAAAAATAATATTTTCGAAACATTTGTCCGACATGGCTACAGAACCAGTCAACGTAGACTCTCAAGCAAGGAACGCTGTTGAAAAGAGACTTCGGCAATCGGCAGATGTAGAAGTCTTTGTTGTAGCTCAAAAACAAATTTTCAATCTTATGAAATACGACAGTTACCAGCGATTTATACGCTCCGATCTATTTAAGAAAGCTCTACAGGCGCAAGAAAGAGGAGAATGTCTGCCCTTCGAGAAAGATAACTTGGACGATCTGTTAAAAACAAATTTTACCTCAGATGCCTCGACAAATTTAAAAAAATCCGCAAGCAACGCCGAAGACCGTCGACGCAAAAGTTTACTGCCTTGGCATCGCAAAATGCGTAGAAAATCAAGAGATCTCAGTGAAGAAAATGTTCGCCGACAAACTTGTAAAAATTTTGCTTTGACAAGCAAAAATCAAAGATCGACTTTCTTTAACGATTTGCATGGGTCACGATCTTCCCTTTCATCTTATGATGCATCTATGATGGGCAGTGCAGCATCCTTAAATACTAATACTCCTTTATGTCGCGTAAAGTTACCAGATGGGTCTACAACGATTATACAAATTCAAGTCGAAGAAACTGTTGGCGAATTGGTTAAGCGGATTCTAGAGAAACGTGGTCTGAAGTATAAAACGTTTGAAGTGTTTGTTAGAGGCTTAACCACAAAATCCGTAAATCTGCAAACACTTAGTCAGGAAATTGCCGGCAAAGAAATAGAAGTAGAGCAGAGGGTAGCATTCAAATTAGACCTGCCCGACTTTAAAGTTATTTCAGTAAAAAGCAAACCCCGTAAAACACTATATGATGTTATGAAACCCATTCTACACAAATATAACTATCAATTGGAAGAAGTCGAAACCTTATATAAAGACACAAAGGAGAAAATCGATTTACACCAACATGTTGCCGAGGTTGACGGTCAACGTTTGCAAGTGCTAATAAAATCAAATAAGATAAAATTTGTAAAACCATTGCCAGTTAAAGGAATAAATGCGCAAATTACTTTGAACGAAATGACGAACACATTTTTTAAGAATTTAATGGAGGGCAAGTTGCAAAATCGAACTTTAACAAAATCCGACGATTCGAATTCTCTAAAATCGAATGATTGCGATTCTCACACTTCCTCCATTCCCGATCGCACACGCAGAAGGGATTCAGCTAATTTAATAAACTTAAAATCGAAAAAAAAGTTACATGCAAAAGTAGCTTATGATGAACTGGCTCCCTTTAATAGGTCACTAGCAAATAATTTAAAAGGAGTCAACTGTAAATTGCCTTTCAATAAAAGTGTTCCTGATAAGGCGATCGAGAACCAAGACGAATTGCTGGAAGGTTTAAAAAGAGCTCAGCTGGCCCGCTTAGAAGATCAACGAGGCACCGAAATTAATTTCGAATTACCCGACTTTCTAAAAAACAAAGAAAACCTTTTAAAAAGTTTGAATAGGAGCGCAGAAAACACAACTAAGAATAAAAGTAGGTATGGAACATATATGGGAAGACCGCAACCGGCTCCCAGATTATCCATTACCAATAAAAATCGCTTAGTTAGCACATCCGACGAACAGGCGTCAATTAGATGTAATAACGAAGTACAACCAACAACTTCCAGTTCAAAAAGTCCGCCGCCCTTACCGCCTAAACCCAAGGTTTTGCCAATAAAACCGTCCAATTGGGGTGTTGCAACAGCACATCCTATTTGCTCATCTGTCGCAACAGCAGCCGGACCACAATTATTTAACAAATTATCCAAAACTACAGAAATGGTAACAGGAGCAGCTATAAGTAAAGTAGCACTAATAGCAGCAGCATATTTAGAAGAACCAAGCAGTAGTTTTGTATAAAACAAATGAATGGAGAAGAACTTTTAGTGAAAGGAATATAGAATTATTGTTTGTAAAAAATTCATTAAAACAATGTATTGAATAATCTTGCCAATAACACAATAAAATTATGAAACATTGCATGTTTCCTCTTGTTATAATGTTCTAGGTTTCGCATCTTAAAATAACGTTTCGCCATTGAAACTTTGTTAATAAAATTAGTTTTTTTTTTTTTGTTTTTTTACCATTAACCTGAAATTAAAGCTAAACAAGTTAGCGTACATGTGTCCGATAATTGCATTATTTTACTAAGGAGAACCTGAACGTACTTTGCATTACATGATCTAGTGATGGTGACGAAAAAGCACGTTATCATGTTTTTACAATTCTTCCTTCTCTTCCTTCGATAGCATGCTTATTGGCCACCGGTCCGGTCTTCTTCCAATGGTCTTCATTAACGCTAATATCCGCAAATTATGGGGAGGGGACCATGGGTCGCCTGGCCTACAAAGCAGTTTTTTGGCTTTCGAATATTGGATTGTTTGCAGTACCATTTTTCGTTGCAATACACAGAAAAAGTAACACACGCCACAAATAGCGAATTTTGCTACGTTCGTTTACTTAAATCTGTTGTTACTCCACATCAAAATAACGTAAAGCGTAAGGAGTATACTTTGAACTGAAACAGCAGCTTTACTCATCATCATCATCATCATCATCATCATCATGAAGGAGGTGTTCATGATGGCATAAAACATTTAACCAAATAATAACGTTTCGAATTCGCTCCACGTTCAAATTATCTGTTATTTATTTCTTCTTCTTTTTTGTATTTGTAAAATATTATTATTATTATTATAATTTCAGACTAATGAAATAAATCCTTAGACTAAAAAAAAAAGACATTGAGCGCTAGCAACACAGGCTATCGGCTCTAATTTATATAAATGTACATTAGATATTGAGTCTAGTACTTTTAATACTGTAATATATTGAATTGATATTCTGTTCTGAAGCTGATATTAGAATGTCTAACGGGTTCATCGATCCAAATGCAATACTTCTAGCCAAGGAAAAGTTAAGGCAGTTGCTTCTTAATCTATTAAGTAGATACAATTTTTTCTTACGAGAAAAATTTTCAGTACTATTTGAAATTCTTTATGGTTGTGACTATGCATTTACTATGACTGTATGAATAGACTGTAATCTGCACCAGAAATAAAAAGTTTTCATATATCTTGCATATTTACATATATATGTAGTACAACTTCATAGTACGTATAGCTAAATGTACGCACATATTCATAACTGAATAGTATTTGAAAAAATAACAGAAACCCATTTGTATTTGTCGTAGCGAGTTTATTATCTGATTTTAAAAATACATGGCGTTGTTCTTGCTCAACATTTGTAAGTTTGATGGTTGCGGAAATGCTTTTCCAAGCTTAAGCGATTTGATACTACATATTGAGGATACTCACATCGATTATGACCCCAAAGTTATTGAACAAATGGAGCGGGCGCAACCAGCATCTCTGCCATTAAGTTACGTTTTACGTTTCATGCCAGATAGGGGCACGCAAGAAGACCGTTTGCCCAAATAATGCAACTGACTCGAGACCCAAGTCCAGAAATAAACGTCGTAGCTCTATCATGCCGTCATCAAATCAAAGCACTACTCCGACTGGCAGCTAAATGGATGAAGACGAATACGTTGACTCCGAATCAGAAGACAGTGATGACTCTTGGACAACCGAAGAGTTTAGTTCCACGTTCATTATGCGCTATGTTCGCATATTTACATACATGCGGAAACCGCGTATGTGCAGTCCCCAGTTTGAAGGCAGCAGTTAACCAATGTATGAGTCCTGACTACTGGTTACTGCAATCCGGTAGTGGTTGTGGTTTCTATCACTCCTAAAGCGAATAGTTAGAGATAGTGACAGGCCTAAACCTACCTCAGAGTGCGTTTATTGAGCCATACACAATAAACATATCCAGTTCCTTCAGAGCGGTTTAGTCCCTAGCTTGTAGGGATTTTCTAACTCGTGATGGCGCCGATTACGCAAAATTAACCCGTATGTCATCGGGCACCGTGGGGTGAAGTCACCTTCTCCACGACTTTTTTAAGCGCCTCCTTTCCCCTGGTGCTATCCACTCCATTCGCTATCTGTAGACGTTAATCTTTTATCCGCTGGATTTCCTTCTTTAAGGCTTCTACTTTCGCTTTGAAGCGCCGACTTTCCTCTATTAGTGCTGCCAGACCCGATGCAGAGAATACTGGTATATAAATTTTGTCCAATATGTGTGGTCTAAAACTAGCGGGGCTTTCTACCCCCATCCTACGTTGTTTCTACGACAAGCCACTGGTACATTCAGAGTGATGTGCGAACGTTGCTCTAGTTTCCTCAATTTACTTTTAAGCGCGCTCAGCTCTTCCCCGTGTCTGCGTAAACTGCATAATCAATTTCTTCGCTAAGTTCTTCAGCTCTGTCGTGCCACACTCTTGGTTTTTTCTCTTTCCTTCCTTTTCCCACGAAATGGGGATTTTTTCAAAATTACTGAAACAATTACATTCGGTATATAGATTATATAATATAACATATATGTATTTATATATTAAAATATATGTAAAAATAAATATGAATAATAATAAATGTGAATAAATGAAGAAGATGAACCTAAAAAGAAACATGAAAGATTAAAGCAGTTACTTAAACTGTAATTAATTAACTAGGGGTAATTAACTATCCGTAGGTAATTTATTAAAGCGATTTGTGACATTTTCTGTAAAAAACTGTGCTCTTGAAATCGCATCATAAAGATATCTTAAGAGATATTTTCTTTTATAAAAGATTCAAATTTAATACAAATATTCAGTCATTCTACTTACACTATTTCTAATGAGGCTTACCAAAGGGGAAAACTTTGAAAGAAACCTATTCTCGGGATTAATAAATCTGCGAATTACTTAAATAACTTACTTTTTTAGAAATTCATTAGCATAGTGTGAAACAGTTTTTTATTTTGTAACTTATGTTTCTTCAGATGAAAATTTAGCAGATTTGTTAACCAACTAAACATCTATATACATATATATATATATATCTATTCATATCTATAAAAAAAAGCCTCATTGAAAAAACGAGTCTGAATTTGGTTACACCTGAGAGTAATTGAAATTTCGAATTGGTAAAATCCGAGAGTAATTTTATTTTTTTTTTCTCACTTAAGCTACATTATTGGGAAAATATTGTTTTCCTGGTTCAGTAAGTTTGTAACCAATTTTGGCGACAAAATAAATTAAAAGACGAAATTGTTATTAAATCGAGCTCAGACTAGAACTCAAAAAAAAAGTTTTTTTTTATGAATGAGAAGCGGAAAATTCTTGCAACTTTTAATAAAAATTTAATTGAAAAATATGTCACTGGCTACTTACATTGGGAATTTTTCGTGGACATCTTCAAGCGTTTGATTTAACACATTAGCAAATTATACAGCTATTTATTGCAGCGTGAATTGAATACTAAAACAAAGCTGAAAATTTAATTTAATCTTCAAAATTTAATCTCCTTTTAAAATGTTAAGTTTAAATCAAAAAAACTTACTAATAATTTTATACTAAAGAGGCAATTAATTAAATTAATTAAATACGTCGGATTTTATCTTTTTCTTGTTTAATTTTCTGGCGGAGTGCATTCCTCCTTTTTATGTTTAAAGTTTTGCGATCTAGAAATTTGTATTGTTTGACAGCGATATGATAGAGATGTGATTATTTCATATTGTTTGTTCATGTTCATTCAAAGTGTTGCCATTTATTGAAACTAACCCTATTCTCTCTCTATTCTCAACACCTGGTAATTTTTTTTATAAACCTTGTAAAGAAAAAACCAGCTAACGGTTTTCTGTAGAAGAAAACGCATTTTACGAGTTGGTGAAAAAGTTCATATAAAATTGGAATACGGAGAAAAACTGGAAGAAAGTATTTTAAATAAAATTCTCTAAATTGAAGAAATTTTTGGTTTCTTTAAATTTTTAATTACACGACAAATGTTATTAAATGTTTGGCTCTTGGGGACGAACCGTAAAAGAAACGGAAGGGTTTTTATCGTCCCAAAATATCGCTTTTTTATCAACAAAGTTGATGATATTTTATTAAGAAGAGACCGTAGTATTTGTAGTATGTCAACCGTTTTGCATGCTTAAATTTCTGCAAAGTCGCTAGGTGTAGGGACCCTTTTAACTGATATCTTGGTAAGAGGCTTGATTATGCAACGTAGACGGTAAAGTTCTTATTATAGAGCCATTTATTGATTGCTGGAATAAAAATAAATGAACAAATAATAAATATCGAAGTACCTGCGAAGATTGGGAGATGTTCATGAGGCCACAAAGCAACGACATACGAAGGCGTAAGCACTCAAATTTCAGATTTTACGTAAGGCTTTCTAAATCAATTGAGCAAAGAGAAAGTTATCGCTGAATATGATCTTTTAAATCTATTTTATGCACATAACTTCTGC